AGAGCGTTTCTACCTGTTCCTCTATCCATTATTACACAGTAAATGTCTTGTCTTTTTCCTTTGTTCCTCCTTCAAAACCTGCTGCCCTTGCCAATGGAAGGATTAGAACTAATTATAGGCAGCTACCTTCATCTCCTGCTAGAGAATGCTTATACGTTAATAGAGAAACATGAAAGACCACAAAAAGCTGGCATGAAAGCATCCCTGTAGTGAAAGGAGAGAGCCTGGAAAGAAAGTTCTGTGAGGACAAGGTTGTGATTTCACAAGATGATCTAGTCAAAGCAAACTGCCACCCGTAAGGAAAAACTTCTGTCTTTTCTGACTTTTTCCACTCACAGCTGTGTATTCTGCTGCTTGCCTTGTGCTACCTTTGATGCCTTTCAGACCGCTACATAAACCAGGTCAGTTTGTGTACTAGGCAGGAAAAATACTCTTCATTGTTTAGTGAGTTGAGCAGCTCACTGACGGGTCCAGAGCCATCATAAAGGGGCAGAGTTGTGCAGTGGAAAGCGAAATGGAGACTTTACCTTCTTGGTGGCAGCAAGAAAGCAGGTAATATCAGTTCTTTATGCAGCTGAAGCTTATGTGAAGTGCAGCACAGGGAAAACTGAATCTCAGGTAACTGAAAATTGTAAAGAAACGTCCTTTAAAAATGTCAAAAAATATTGTTCAAATGAGTGATTATACAAATGCTGTCATAAGTTCTAAAACATAACAGAAACTTTTGTAAGCTGTTGGGCTTCCCCCCTTTTTTTCCCCCCCCCCCCCGAGATTCCGTACTTGTGTTTTTATTGAGAATGCTTTGGTGAAATGAGTGTATTTTGTCTTTCAGAAAAGTGATACTAAATATGGGCTTGGGACCCAATTTCAGTTACCCCTTTCTTTAAAAAAAAAAAAAAAAAAAAAAAAAAAAAAAGACTTCTATAGATCTATGGTTTTTGATTATTACATCAGTGCTCTCAAAACCAGAAGGCATTTTAATGATTAGGTAAAAAACTGGTCTTAGCCGTAAAATGATGTGGATCTACTTTGAAGCATGGTAGCTGGTGCCGAATCCTGATAGTAGATTTCACTTCGGAACATTCTGGGGAAAATCCACTAAAGAATTTTAGTAGAAGATTAGGTAACTCTTCAAATATCTCTCCTCTCTTAGGCTTTATTCACACAGAGATGACTGCTCATTTGGAAGAAGATCAGTTGAAGGATGCAATTCTCCTTGGAAGATTTGGAGAGCCTAGTGAAGTTGCACAAGCTGTTGTTTTTCTTCTAGAGACCCCTTACGTTACAGGGAGTATTCTAATTGTAGATGGGGGCTTGCACCTTATGACTTAGCTTCAATAAGTACCTACTTTGGTAATACATAAATATATACTGATTAAAGGGAGAGGGGTGAAAATTAGTTGAAGATTGATGTATGTGATTGACTTGACGTTACTTTGTCGGAGGAGAAATTCAGCAGTGTAAAAGTCCAGTGGGTATGTTCAGCTACCTGGAAAAGTTCATTTGGTATTACAAAGTCTGTGTGTGCAGTGAAAGGAGAGAACCTGGAAAGAAAGTTCTGTAAGGACAAGGCTGTGATTTCACGAGGCAATTGTATATGTAACAATTTGAAAAAGATCTGGTTTTGGTATGGTGATAGTTTTAAATGACATGCTGATACTTTTTTAAAGCACTATATTTTTATGAAGTCGTGTTCTGAATTTGGCATAGAGTGGAGATTTTACTCTAATTATCATGTTACACTGAAGTTAATATTATTAAGTGTGGAGGCATGTTTGTTGGTTGGCACGTATGATTGCATCAGGTTTTTCATGTAGGGCAAAGACTGCGAACTGCATCATTTTTTATTAGCACCTAGTCCCTACAAAGTTTCCTTTGGATTTTTGTTTGTTTGTAGTTGATGCTACAAAGCCAGGAGCTTCTAGTTCTTAAGCATACCTGATTTGCCTTCAGGACATTTAATTGTATGCAATATGTTTTTATAAAGACTAAACCTGCTCAGTTCCATTCTTGAATGCATGTACAGCACTCAGTCCAGTCACACTTGTGTGTGTGTATGTTGAAGGGCTGTTGCTTGGTCACTGGAGTTGCTGATTCTGTAATATTCCGAGTTTGATCTGCACATGCACTGGTGTGAACAGTACAGCTGCAGACCTTGCTGCGCAAAAGAATTTTCAGTGACTCAGTAGATGTTTAGAAAACACATACCACTTCCAGAGTGTGGAGTCAAGGTGTTCTGCTCTGTATCTTCTTGAACGCTCATTTCAACTGTTGTGTTGATGCTTTTTAATATGTATGTATAGTCAATAAAATAGCCATTCATTTCATTCAAAGCAGCTTTTGAAGCAGAGTAATTACTCAGCTGTAAATGATCCTGACTGTTTCTCTCTTGCTGAAAAAATACCAAAAATTTGACCTCAGGCTTCTCTATTGAGATCAAGTAATTTTTGATAATTGGTGCTTTTATCTTCTCTGAAGAAAACTATGAATGTGGTTTAGGACCTTCACTTCTTAGCTCCAGTGTTCATTGCATCATGATCCAGATGTCGATTCAGCTTTTGAAATTACTTGCCATCTTGGCACAAACCGAAGTACAGAAAGAAGAGATCTCATTGATGACAACTTCATGTGTTTTGAAAGTCTGAGATTTTCTTCCTATGTGCAGCTGAGAAATTTTGTCTTTGGGCCAGAAAACAGTGCATGTTCAAGCTTCTCACAGGTATGTATTGAGAAATAGTACAAGGAATGGTTGTATATTCAGGGGTTTTTACAGTTGGTTGTGTTACTGCTTTGGAATATAGAACACCACTAAAGGTAGGCCTTCCAGGAGTCCTAATCTTACTGTTATCTCTTTGTAGAGAGGTGGTGTTTGTTGCTCATGTTATTTGCTGACACAAAGCTGTCTTTGCACCAAAAATGTAATTGTTAATTATATTTCTCTTTGATAGAAAGAATTGGTCAGAGAATAGATGAATTCTTTTCCAAAGGCACTGGAGGTGCCTTCAGAAAAAGGTGAGGAAAAAAGGCAGCTGGTACTCCCATTTTTACTAGTCTAGTGGTAATATGTCAGTAACTTTGCTGCTGCCCATACCTGTCCTTAGTATGTTACAAGCAGAGCCTGTGTGACGCTGTGTGACCAGAAGCCAAAGGTAATTTCCTAGTACTGAGTTCTGACCCTAATTGTTATTACTCCTGGTTTTGTTGGGTAAGGGAATGTTAAATAAGTTATTTGCAATGACAGTTTTAGTTTATATTTGCAATTAAAACCTGAATTTATCTTAAAAAATTAAATAAATAAAACAAACAAGCCATAGGATGTTCTATGTTTTGTTTTGTATTGCTTCCAAAAATAATGCCGAATTGTTTTGCCTTTTCCTAACCTTTACACTTATGTTTTCAGAGGCTATATAAGAACAGTAACTCTGTCCTGAATAATTAGTGGCCACCTTGGAGTCTGTTTCCTTATCTATGTATTTAGGTCTGATTTTTTGTATTTCCCCAGTGTGGATTGTTCTCATCTATCTACAGTGAATTTAGTTTGCTGGTTTTAACACCAGTTTCCTCAGTAAAATGGTTCTGCAATTATTTTAATTCTTTCATCCCCTTATTACTTTGAGTAACTTAGTGCTACTGGAATGTACTGTGGGCTTCAGAAATTGCTGTCTGGGAACCCTTATGAATAGGTTTCTATACATGTCAGCCCTAGCTAGGTGTCTGTAGTGCTTTGTTGGTGATCCGTGTCCTTAGGAAAGAATGACTGCTGATTCACACCCTTTGTTTTCCATCCTTCAGTAATTTACTGATATGACAACTCCTTCTTGGCAGCTGCATCTTTAATAGCTTTTGGCAAGGGAACATGTCAGATGCCTTTCAGGATTTTAAGCATTCTGTTTTAGATGTCCGTACTCTCATCTCTTTTTATTCTTCAGAAGAACTCTAAAATGTTTATCAAACATGACTTGCCTTTGCAAAAGCAACTCTGACTTTCCTAGGTATGTTTACCCAGTTGTTTTTATGGCTTTAGAACAATTTCTGGCAGTTTGCTAAGTACAGAAAAATACAATTAGTCTGTAGATTCCTGCATCCCTCTGGAATCTCTTCTGAAAAATACAAGTGATCATTCCACCCACTAAACTCCCAAAAGCTCACTGTCACTTTTCCCATTTTCTGGTGACTTGATAACGAGGCAGTTTTAACCCAGAAGTTTCCTTTAGAATTAGGGAATGATAGCCCCCCAGCCCTGGCCATTTGTTACTTCCTCTGTAACTCTGCTGATGTTTTGCTCTGAGGGGTAAACCCTTCAGCAAGTTCCTGCATGACACCAAAAACTGATTCAGGGTTTTGTTCACAGTTTGGGTTTGTTTTTTTTTTTTTCCTCCCTTTGTGGCCTTCCCTTCCCTGAGCACTTTACTTTTGATTTTGGTACTCTTCTTGCCTTATTCAGGCAGGTTCCTGTTCCTGGGGCAGTGTTTGGATGTAGATTGTTCTTGTACATTCCAATCTGCCTGTAAATTTCACATTCAGCGACCGGTTCCATTTCACTGCAAAAGCTGCACTGCTGGTTTTACAAAGGTTGGCTTCTAAATTCTGGTAGCTTTTAATCCATGTCAGCTTCCCTTTCCCCATAAAACCAAATCAATTCGGTGCATGTATTTAAAGTCACACTGAAGTTCAGGGTGTACAATCTCAGTGTTGTCATCAAGCATTGCATCTTAATTTATTGACTTGTCTTTTTGGTTTCATGTTAGCATATTTCCTTATTTTATGATGCTCCTTTTTATGGAAGTCTGCAGCAGTGGATTGTTGTCTTTATTAATAAACTTGGTCAATATTATTGCAGAAATAAAAGTTACCACTGCAAAGCCAGTCTTTGAAAACAGCATCTTGGCTCAGCCAGAGGTGAGTGGCCCTGGTCAGCAGCAGGAAAAACATATGTTAAGAAATTGATCCTGGCCTGTTCACTATGACATTTATCCGGCCTCCTGGTAAGTGCTGTCTTTCATTGTGGTTACACTGCTGGCCTTACAGACCTTGGATGTCATAGCTACTGCCATCATCCTAATTGTATGGGTAGTAATATTGTCTGACAACAGAATTTACTTTATAGAGCCTGGAAATTCGATCTGTATCTGATTTGATGAGTTAATTATTAAAATATTGATAGTATTATGACTTTCCTATATATTTCGTATCTCTATCTTGCTTATATGTCTTGCTTCCATCATATTTCTGGTATGCCTGTTATGTCGCGGTCCTTGATTAGAAACAGACGTTTAGGTTTTACGTCTTTTGCTGCTAGTGTGTGTGCCAAGTTACATATAAATGGTTTGAGGTTGGTTTTTTTTGCATGTGGGTGCTCTTGAGTAGCACCGTGTGCTTGACTGGCCTACTGTGGTTTCTCGATTGAATTTGGAGAACTTCAGTCCATTCCCTCAGTAGATATACAGAGTTTCTGTGATTCCATTCCTAGTGGAAGCGAGAGCATGTGCTCTTACTCATCTGATGTTTCTTCACCCACCATCTTGCTTAAAACTCCTATAATCTCTTGTTAAGCTGCAACATCTTCCTACTTTTTTATTGTTGTTGTTTAGAATGAACTATTTCGCAAACTCCCACTACTCCATGTTTCTGCAGTTCCTAAAGAATCTGTACAGCTCCTCCTACAACTGTGTTTTCAGGCTTGCATTGAAACTTTACCTCATTATCTGCCTTTGGGAGCATTTTAAAGAAAGCTGCTACCCAGGTCTGGTCTTTAACTTACTCCGTGTTTTATTCCAGATCTTTTCTCCTGCCCCACACTGGTCCCTATGTGGCCTTTCACCACCTCCCAGAATTTCTGGAGAGACCACCGAGGCATGTTTTGAGGGTGGTGAGGGTGACTGCTTTTGCAGCTGACATTTAATTCGGCACGTGGTCCTCTTGTAAAGCAGCCTCCTTTCTGACCCACCCAGAATTACTGACTTGTTTTTTTTTAAACTCAGCTGGGTTCCTGCTTCAGAAAGGAATCCTCACTAAGGGAAAGTGTGTGTTGTGGTGTTTACTCAGTTATGTGCCTTGCCTTGTCACTGCCACGTTAGGAAACTTAAACCGTTCTGCTGACTTGACATTTGGTTCAGTTCAAATTCTATAGGTAGTGAGATTTGCATGTTCTGGTCTTTAATTGGAGCACATTGTAGGCCTGGAAAGTTTACTGGTTTGTATCTATCTCTTCTCTGTATTTTTCCAGTGCTTGGGATGATGATGGACTGCTCTTGTGCTGCTTTTCTCCTAGATAGGTTACTGGAGCCTTCCTTCTGCTTGTCTCTCAAGAAACGTGTTTGTAACTTAGAACTTGCTGTAGTGAACTCACTGTGTTAGTCTTTTCC